AAGCTTCGATTCTCAGTTTAAAGCCTCACTCCTGCCATCTATTCTGCTGGACCCCTCTGTCCAGAGTCTCTCTGGGTCACTTTCTCCAGAAACTCAATTTTCTGATTACCTGCAGGGAACAGGGGAACTATTATCTTGCTTTGCCGCATTTGGAACAGAATGGAGACCTGACAAGGTTCATATGCAGGTGAACCAATTTCGTTTTTTGCCCAGTATTGCCTTTGTCTTCCAAGATACTGCATCTCCTTATCCCCAGCCCTTTGGAAACGCTGCAAGATAGGTGATTTGTCTTAATTATACCAGCAGTTTGCTGGAGCCAGATTATGGAGTTTATCCATTTCCAGTTCCCTGTTCACTAATAATCAAGTTTGATTGCTTGAAATTGCGCATACTGGGGACCTATATGCCATGGGAATAGACAGAAAATACATTTCAGAGATTTTGTTTATGCACAGAGCTGTTATTCAGCCCTTAAAGCACACCACATGCTTAGACCCTTCCACACACACTTCGGTTTCAGCTTCTTTTTTTCTGAGTGAGTTACCACACTTCAATCCTCTCTCCGTATTCCAAAACTGTATAGCCCTTACATATCTGGTTTTACTTCCTTTCCCTTGGACTTAGGTGGTTGTGCCCTTCCTTCGTAAGTTTTTTTTTATTGTTTTCAGTGGCACTTTAGATGGGGAAATGCTTGTGTATATACTATGCCTGTGATACATTATTCAGTGTATCTAGAAGTATCTCCCATGTGCCAATACTGAAGTCCTTACCTCAGAACCTGCCCGTTTCTTTATCTCATCTCTCATCCCACTCCTTATTCCCCATCGTTCCTCATATATACAAGGTCTGTTACTATTTCTCCTGTTCTCTGTTTGTCCCGGATTTCTGCATCCTTCCCATATTTTTTTTCAACTCATGTCTTTTTCTCGGAGAGGCCTTCTTCCTCACTACTTGCTCTCTGGCTCTCTTCCATTCAGTGAAAGAGATAGCGTCACCTGATTCAGGCAATGCCTGAAACCTTTTGTTTGTTTGATTGTTATCTTTGAGTTTTGTTTGGAGACGTGGCAGTGCTTGGCTTACTCCTGGCTTTGTGATCAGAAATCACTCCAGGCCATTCTCAGGGAACCATATGGGATGGTGGGGGAAAAAACCCAAGTCATTGTAGGCAAGCACCTTACACACTGTACACTTACACAGTCCAGCCCAAGAGACCTTGTCAAAGGTGTTTGTCAGAGGTGACAAACATTTGTTGAAAGAATGCAAATCGAATAAATACATTCCTGACCTTAAGACCATCTGCCCAGGGCTGGAGCGGGTAGGGCCTTTCATGCAACCGACCTGGGTTCTATTCCCAGCATCCCATATGGTCCCCTGAGCACCGCTAGGAGTAACTCTTGGGTGCAGAGCCAGGAGTAATCCCTGTGCATCACCAGGTGTGACCCAAAAAGGAAAAAAAAAGACCATCTGTCCAATTCTTCAAGACTTTTTCATCTTGAGACCAGAGAGATGAAAAGATTCAGGTGCTTGTCTTGCAGTTGGCTTGCAGAGAGATGACAAGAGTCAGGCGCTTGTCTTTCAGTTGGCTGACCCACATTGATCCCTGGCTTCACATATGATTTCCCCAAGCATCGCCAGACTAAGCCCTGAGTGCCACTGGTGTGCCCCATCCCCCAAAAGAAGGATCTTCATCCTTCTGATTTGAGAAAATCTATCACTTTGGATTCCAATCGTGAGCCTCATAAGGACCTTATATATGCTTAAACCCTCTCCCGATTATGCAGGTGATTCTTACCTTTTCATTCTTACATTCATATTCTTTCCCAGTAACCTCTTTCTGACATTATGTTGTATATCATTAGGGAATTTCCTTATATTGACACTTTCCTCTTCTGTCCACTGAGTCGTTCTCTTCCCCTCTCAGATTTTGTTTTTTTGTTTACTGCAAGATTTCCTTTAAGACAGTACCAAAACATAAAGCAGATGGATGTTTGGGCAGGAAATAAATGAGTACATATGTTTGTGGGTGGCAAAATCTCAAATGAAAACTATTATCATCTTAGTTTCTACTTTGGTTCAAAATAATTCTAGTGGCATCTTGGGGGGAGTTTGGGGGGGTTGTTTGTTTTGGGATCACACCTGGCAGTGCTCAGGGTTTTGCACTCAGGAAATAATTCCTGGAAGTTCAAATGGTGTACCAGGGATCAAACCCATGTTTGCTGTGTGCAGGGCAAGCACCCTACCTGCTGTAGTATCTTTCCAGCCTCATGAGTGGAATTTTTTTTTTTTGCTTTTTGGGTCACACCCGGCGATGCTCAGGGGTTACTCCTGGCTCTGCATTCAGTAATTACTCCTGGTGGTGCTCAGGGGACCATATGGGATGCTGGGAATCGAACCCGGGTCAGCTGTGTGCAAGGCAAATGCCCTACCCACTGTGCTATCATTCCAGCCCCCATGAGTGGAATTTTTCATGGAAGAAATATCCTGATTGATTGGCAGTATAGGAAGTCCTTAAATATACGTAAATATTTACTGGACTTAATTCCGTTTCTTCACAGCTCTTTGCTCAGCAGTTAAGGACAATGTTACCAGTAGCATCTTCCTCTCAAGAAACACAAATAGGGGCTGGAGCAATAGCACAGCGGGTAGGATGTTTGACTCAGGTAGTCCCCCAGCAACGCTAGGAGTAATTCCTGAGTGCAGAGTCAGGAGTAACCCCTGAGCATCGCTGGGTGTGACCACCCCCCAAAAGAAAACCACACAAATAGTTGAAATATATGAATGACAGTGAATAAAGTCATGAGCATGGCAAGGGAATAAATAGTTTGTTATTTTATGAATATCAACTGGACTAGGGAGCTGCTCTCAGCAGTGCCAGGGATCCGGCCAGGGTCTCGGCATGTAAAACATATACTCCTGTCCTTAAGCTTTCTTCCTGGCCCTCAGTATTTCTTCAATTGTCAAAACGATAAAGTTAGGGAAACAGTTGAGCCCAAGGGGTTCACAATACCTAGTTCATCTGCACATATTTAATATATATAATTGCTTTCAAAATTAGTTGATGGCAACATTTTGGAAACTGAATTTGTCACCTTTTCCCATAAATGTTGAATTATGCTGTAGTAATTCATGGAGCTTCCCTTCACAATTAGATTCTCTAAGAATTTCCTGACTTCTCATTTTGATGGAGACATGGGGGTTGTGGAGGGAGAGTGGGATTTATTTGATCCACATCTGGCTGTGCTCAGGGCTTACTCCTGGTGGGGCTCAGGGAACCACATGACATGCCGGGATCAAAAGCAGGTCAGTCACCTGCAAGCCTTACCTGCTGTCCTATCCCTCTGGTCCCCAGCTGACTCCTCATTTTTGCTTCCTTATTTTGATAAAGCATTCTTGAAAAGAGTGACATTGCTTTTGCCTTCACTGGGAAATGTTTAACAATGTAGCACTATCCTCCGGTTGTTCATCAGTTTGCTCAGAGTGAGCACCAGCAACGTCTCCATTGTGAGAATTGTTACTGTTTTTGGCATATCTAATATGCCACGGGGAGTTTGCCAGGCTCTGCCTTGCAGGCGGGATACTCTTGGTAGCTTGCCGGGCTCTCGGAGAGGGACAGAGGAAACGAACCCAGGTTGGCCATGTACAGAGCAATCGCTCCAGCCCAGGAAATGTGTACTAAACACTAAATGTTATTTTATCTTTTAAAAATAAGTTTTCCAGGGTCTCAAGCGATAGCACAGCAGGTTGGGTGTTTTCCTTGCATGCGGCCAACCCAGGTTCAATTCCCAGCATCACATATGGTCCCCCAAGTACCGCCAGGAGTAATTCCTGAGTGCATGAGCCAGGAGTAACCCCTGTGCACAGCTGGGTGTGACCCAAAAAGCTATAAATAAATAAATAAGGAAATGAAGGTGTTATTTACCCTTTACCCCATTCATTTCTTCTCTCAATTATATTTTGGGGTGAGGGAGCCTTCTAAGTAGAAATCAGGGGAATGACTCAGTGGATTCTGGAGTCACTCCCAGAGATTTTCAGCCAAACAGGACAAGCAGTTCTGGAGGTGAGGAACACAAATAGAGGTGCAGGGAAGCGACCACCCCGGAGGAATGATTTGCAGAAAAACCAACCATTAACAGTTGTGTATACCTTTGTGTGCGTGTGTAAAATAAGTGCTTTTATTTGGTTCTTTGGGAAAGTAATATACAGTGGATCTTAGATCAACTAACACTATTTTTAAATCAAAGAAATTGAGTTGTGTTCTCTTCTTATTTATTTTTGTTCAAAGCACCGTGATTTACAAATTTGTCCATTCTACAGTTGTTTCAAGCATTTAGTGTTTCAACACCACCCGTGTGACCTTCTGTTCCCCAGTTTCCCCCCCAACCCCATCCTGCCCTTTTAGGCACAATATAACAAATTACTTTATATTACTTATTCCACAAAACTTTAAGAACTGGCAAATAGAATGATCAGAAAATAAATCACTAAGGGCCAATTAGTGATAACTATATGGTTTTGACCTACAAAATTTCATTTTTAAGAAAATCAAAACCATCTGACAGGTGAGACTCGATTATTACCATAACACGATCCAAGTATGAAATAACATTTGGTAAAAGTTTAGATTTCGGAGTTGAAAATGTATATATGTAAGTAGAATAGGCGTTTTTTTAATATAGAATTGTGAATTTTTTCCATTTCTATAAATGAGAGGACTGAGTGGTCTGAGCGTGTGCATGTATGAGCTCATGCCCTCTCCTGGGGTTGAGCCCAGCGCCACAGGCATGTGCTCTTCCACAGAACCACGTCCCAGCCTCAGAGAGAGCTACGTTTAAAAGTAGATTTCGTTCATGAAGAGTTGGCAAAACCTTGTAAGAACAGAAGCCTTCCCACGTGCAAATCTTCCCATGTTTTCATCTTTCCACATGTGTAGTGTATTTTGTGCTTGGCACATTTGTGCTTGAAAGGTGGCCGGTAAACTCTGATGTTCTCATGTGTTCCAGAACGGACTGTCTCCACTGCACATGGCCACACAAGGGGATCATTTAAACTGTGTCCAGCTGCTCCTTCAGCATAACGTGCCCGTGGACGATGTCACCAATGACTACCTGACTGCCCTGCACGTCGCTGCCCACTGTGGCCATTACAAAGTGGCCAAGGTTCTCCTGGACAAGAAAGCTAACCCCAATGCCAAAGCCCTGGTGAGTGGTCCAGCCAGCCAGTGCAACATGCATTGTCTTTCTGATGACTGTGGAGAAATTTCTTCTGAGGAGGTAAAATTGGGAGGTCTGGTTAGGCGAAGTGAGTGTCTGGTGAATGTTATTCCCAGGGAGTTCGTACACCTTCTATTTCTGAAATGAACAATACCAATTAGGCTACGTCATTAATGCCTATGTGTGTTCATACTAGTGAGTCTTCTGTACATGAAACCTCAAGCCTGTCCGTGTGTAAAGGTACTGAAAAGGTGAGCCTCTCTTAAGATAAACGAAGGTAAATTTCTAATTCTGTGCTCTGAAAGTTTTCTCTGAGATCATGAAACAGGAGGTGACATGGTCAAAACACTTTGTCTTAAATATGAGAAGCATATGTATGTTCTCTTAAATCTGTGAGCAGAAGTTCTGTGTTAATGATTCTTTTTTATTTTTATTATTATTTTGGTTTTCAGACCATCCCCAGTGCTCAGGGATCAGTCCTATGGGACTTGGGGAACCATCTGGGGTACTAGGGATTGAACTCAGATGAACCACTTGTTGGGGATGTTCCCTACCTGCTGTGCTATCTCTAAGACCCTAAATACTCTATTCAAGTATTTTCCTTCTGAAGAGCCAAACTTCTGGTCTTATGTATAATCTGAACTCCTGGAATAAAGTGCTGCTTAGCTCTGCTATGGTTTGGGTTTTGCAGTCAGATGGCATTTGTTGTGTCTGGAAAAAATTTAAATGATTTGTATTTGGTGAGCATTTACATTTGGTTCAGAGTCAGTATCCATATTGAGGGGGCAAAAATCAGTTACTAGAATGTTCTGAGGAACTTGTGACTTTGCTATAGAGAAAAGTAGCAGCAGTTGAGCCTTCTGAGTGATTCTGTTTTTTTCCATGGGTGAATTCAGCCATTCCCGGGGGCTCTGCCCTTCAGTGTTCTGCACGTCCTGGAATTCGAAGTGGGTCAGAGAGCTGGGGGAGAGAAGAGGTCTTTCAACCCCAAGCACAGTCATTACTATTGTCTTCCTGAGAGCTCTCCCCAGAGTCACTTTTTTAAGGCTGTTGACCTTCCCCCTATATTAAGCAGACTTGTGAATCTTGAGAAGGAGGGAAATCACGGTTCAATTTTACCCTATAAGGAAAAAAAAATCTTGGGGCCTGAGCGATATTACAGTATGGTCCCCCAAGCACTGCCAGAAGCAAAAAAAAAAATCTTTACAACTGGGCATGGACTTCAATTCTCACTTTGCTCTCACTGGTGCAGAGGTCAGAGCTGGTCAGCCTTGAATGGACTCTGGTCAGGCACATGGTCCCAGGATCAATGTGCAGGGAAGCCGCTGCCATGACTGACCGAATTTATAGTAGACTCTGAGATTGTGTCATCCATAGTCTCAGTGCTCAGTCAGAACAGTTTGGTTGGTGATTTGTTAAAAAGCAGGACTTCTTTTTCTTATTAAGCCTGAAGCCAAGTGAGTCTGATAAAGTTGGGTTATTTAACTTTCTGCTTCCTGGGAGTCCGTACTCATTGTATACATAAAGCTGGCAGCAATGAACATGTTTAGGAAGTGGCCTTGTGATTGTCCTAAAGGGTGACAGCAAAGTTTTGACTGAAAGGAGAAATATTTTAAGTCAGGCATACTATTTGAAACCATGATTCAAGTACAAAATAATCTTAAGAGATGCATGATTGTTTTGCCTAAGCCACCAGAAATTATGATAGGAATTATCTTCCCATTTATGATGACCACCAAGGTACTTTGAATTTCTAGTAGCAGCTCAAATAATTGTACTTCCAGAGAAGAAGAATCTACATTCTGTTTAACGTTCTTATTCTTTCCAGACCCTTATAGAACATCTCTTATATGAATATTTTGCCATACATTGGTAGAAATGGATTTTAGTGGAAGGTAGTTACCTAGATGTATGTCTTTGTCCATTACAGAATGGCTTTACTCCTCTTCATATTGCTTGCAAGAAAAATCGAATTAAAGTAATGGAACTCCTTCTAAAGCACGGTGCATCTATCCAAGCCGTAACCGAGGTGAGTGTGGGAGGGTTTCTGGGATTCCCAGGGTGTGCTGAGAGTATAGCAGCAGTGAAGTCCCGCGCCATCTGCCATCCCTAAGGACCAGCCTGGTTCTTTTTGTGATTCCTTCACTTTCCTCCAGGAGGATGCCATTTCTTAAGACAGCAAACCAGAATGTGGATGGATGAGTGCATATACATTACCGTGACTCAAAGCATAATCCAAAACTCATGAATCATGCACAGGGCTGAATGGCATCATCACTGGAAACACCATTTCCTTGAAATCCTATAATACAGTGCTCCTAGACTAGGAGTGACCACCCCCTATTCCCCAACCCCCCACCCCCACACACACACTCATCCCCCAAACATTGTTTAGCAGTATTTTAAATTATCACATCTAGAGGGTGCTTTTAGTGTCTTTTGGCTAAAGGACAGCAGTGTTGCTAAATATTCTACAGGGTCCAATGTCATAGCCTCCTCCAACAAATCATCTGTCTCAAAACGTTGGAGGGTCTAAGACTGAGAGTCTCTGCTCCTGTCAACTTCTGCTGTATGTTTGTGAAGTGAGAATTGCTCTTGAGAAAAACTTAGACCCCATGAAACAGAATTGCTGGCATTTGTGAAGCAGTCATCTGTCTGTGCTTTCCCTTGCACAAGCCAACTTGGAACTCAGAGAATCAACCCCGCGGAATCAGGGCTGAACCTCTAACACAGCATGCAGGGCCTGGAATTTGCCCGTCCACACCTTCCCCATTCCACCCCCAACCCCGGCCCAGCCCTGCCCCCACGCCCCTCACCAACTTGGTCTCTGGATTTTAGCAGTCAGCACTTCCCTGGACTAAGCGTACTTTCATTCACCTTTAGTACCTCTGCACTCTCTGTGTTCTAGCCACTCTGCCGGGGGGGTCCCTTCAGGACCAGATCTGGGAGGTCTTTGTTTTCTAGGAAACTTCTCCGTTCCTCCCAGGAGCTGGTCCTGCTGTCGAGATTATTGAACCAGCCTCTTCTCCCTGTCCGCCTACCCCAAATCTGCAGGTGCCCTCCAGGCAGATCTGAGTCTTGTGCATGTCCTCTACCCACAAGAGAGTAGCTCCCAGCCTAGATCATTCAGTAAAGGTTTATTGAATGCACCGATAAAGATTTGATGCAAATGTAAAAATAAGAAGTGGTCATCAATTTATTGCTTTGCTTCAGTTTCTTATTTGCAAGTCAAATACGTGCCTTGATCTGTAGCATATTTGACTTTTTAAGTAGTAAGTGCTTGACAATATTAACACTGGTTTGTTCATTCATCAGTCATATGACTTCATGGTAAGGTAAGGTAAGGTAAGGTAAAGGCCCTCCCGTTGATCGTCGATTTGCTCGAGCGGGCCCAGTAACGTCTCCATTGGAGACTTTGTTGTTACTGTGTCTGGCATATCAAATACTCTCGGTAGCTTGCCGGGCTCTCCGAGAGGGGCGGAGGAATCGAACTCGGGTCGGCCATGTTGGCCGCTTGTAAGGCGAACGCCCTACCCGCTTCATGTTAGCTCATATTAATTATAAAATAAGTTTATTCTCAAGACATGGTAATTCTGTTTGAAAACCTGAATGGGTTCTGAAATAGAAGTAGATTTTGGTCTAAAGCTTAAGGTTCCAGAGATGTCCACCAGTGATTTAGGAAGTTCTGCTTCCTGCTCTGTGCTTCTCTTGAAAGTTAGTTCTGACCAAGTGAGTGTAGTTCATTTACGTTCCAACAGTGCCCCCTGCTGTTACCAAACGTCTTTATTTTTTTTTGATTCTTCACTGAAGTCAGATATCTCTTCAGAATTCCTTTCACATATTTTTTACATTTCTTAACTTTCCTTTGAGATTAATAACTCCTGTAACCCTTTTTTTAAAAACCAGGTTAACATTTTCTAGTCATATTAGACATTTTAACGAGGTTATGGTATTTATTTTATAAGCAGAATTTTTTTGTTTGTTTTTTGTTTTTTTTTGTTTTTTTAATTTTTATTAGTGAAACACCATGAGGTACAGCTGTAGATTTACAAACTTTTGTGCTTGGGTTTCGATTATACAATGATCAAATACCCATTCCTCCACCAGTGCCCATTTTCCACCACCATGGATCATATACCCCCCACCCCCATCCCCCCCATCCCACCCTGCCTCTGTGGCAGGGCATTCCCTTTTGTTCTCTTTCTCCTTTTGGGTGTTGTGGTCTGCAAAAGAGGCATTGAATGGCAAACATGTTCAATTCATAGTCTACTTTCAACATGCATCTCCCCTCCTGGGAAGATCCTCCAAACACCCTTTATTTGGTGCTCCCTTCTATATCTGAGCTGCCCTTTTCCCTAGAATGCCCGGCTGGCCTCTAAGCTATGGAGTAATCCTCCTGGTGCTGATCTCAGCTATTCTTGGGTATTAATCTCATACTTTGTTACTTTATATCCCCCAGATGAATGCAATCTTTCTATGTCTATCCCTCTCTTTCTGACTCATTTCGCTTAGCATGATACTTTCCATATTGTACCACTTGTATGTAAATTTCATGACTTCATCTTTTCCAACAGCTACATAGTACTCCATTGTGTAGATGTACCAAAGTTTCTTTAACCAGTCATCTGTTCTTGGGCATTCAGGTTTCTTCCAGTTTCTGGCTATTGTAAAGAGTGCTGCAATGAACAAACAAGTGCAGATGTCACTTCGACTATACATTTTTGCCTCTCTGGGATATATTCCCAGGAGTGGTATTGCTGGGTCAAATGGGAGCTCAATTTCTAGTTTTTTGAGAATCGTCCATCCTGTTTTCCAAAAGGGCTGAACCAGTCTGCATTCCCACCGGCAGTGAAGGAGGGTCCCTTTCTCGTCACATCCGCGCCAGCATTGGTTGCTTTTGTTCTTTTGAATGTGGGCCAGTCTCTGAGGTGTGAGATGGTATCTCGTTGTGGTTTTGATCTGCATCTCCCTGATGATTAATGATGTAGAGCATTTTCTCGTTTGCTTTTTTGCCATTCAGATTTATTCTTTGAGAAAGTTTCTGTTCATTTCATTGCCCCATTTTTTGATGGGGTTGGATGTTTTCTTGTTGTGGAGTTCAACCAGTACTTTGTATATCCTTGATATCAACCCCTTGTCAGATGTGTATTCGGAGAATATCCTTTCCCATTCTGTAGACTGTCTTTGTATTTTGGTCACTGTTTCTTTGGAGGTGCAGAAGTTTCTTAGTTTAAGGTAGTCCCATTTATCTTTGTCTGTTTTCACTTGCTCGGCCAGTGGCGTGGCAGCTTTAATGTCATGGAGGGTTTTGCCAACTTTGTCTTCAATGTACCTTATGGTTTCTGGTCTGATGTTGAGTATAAGCAGAATTTTTAAAAAATTTTAACACTAACCACAGAAAAAGCACAAATATTAAAAAACAAAAAAAAAACTTATGTATTTGTGTTTAAGATTTGAAAAAATATAAAAATTAAGTTTATAACCTCATGTTTATTGTAATATGTGCTTTAATTAAATCAGCTTAATTTAGAATTCTTTTAAAGTTAAGTGATTAAATTTTTTTTTTTTGCTTTTTTGGTCACACTCAGCAATGCACAGGGGTTACTCCTGGCTCATGCACTCAGGAATTACTCCTGACAGTGCTTGGGGGACCATATGGGGTGCTGGGAATTGAACCCAGGTCAGCCATGTGCAAGGCAAATGCTCTACCCACTGTGCTATCACTCCAGCCCCCTGGTGATTAAAATTCTTAATGCTGAATTGCTTGTTTATTTGTTTTTTTTTCTTTTTGGATCACACCCGGCGATGCTTAGGGATTACTCCTGGCTCATGCACTCAGGAATTACTCCCAGCAATGCTCAGGGGACCATATGGGATGCTGGGAATCAAACCCAGGTTGGTCACATGCAAGGCAAACACCCTACCCACTGTGCTATTGCTCCAGCCCCCTGAATTCCTTGTTTTATGAGTGGGAATTGCTGCCTAAATGCTATGCTTCCCTGTATAATGTAATCCTTTGATTTTAAGTGGATAGAAGTAATTTTTAAAGACTAGAATATAATCTGATATAAAAGTCTTTTTGTTACTAATGTGTCTCTGTTCATCCCCTCCCAAACACACAATCATATCGTAGGGAAGGTTTAGTAGCAAAGCAGGAAATATTCAAAAAATTTTTTCTTAATTATTTTTCTAAATTTTCATGTTTGGGGGTGTTTTGCCACACCTGGTAGTGCACAGGGCTTATTCCTGACTCTGTGCTCAAGAAAGATCCCATCTCCCTCCTTAAACCAACTGGGCTCAGGAGACCATATGTGGTGACAGGAATCTGAGGTAGGTCAGCTGTATGCAAAGCAAGTGTCTTAACCCTTGTACTATCTCCCTGGCCCCTAAATTATTTTTATAGATAGATGTAAAATGTATGAAATTTTTCCCCCTAATGTTATTCCATATGCCTTTCATAATCACAAAACGTGCTTTAGGGACATGATTAATATTACATATGCCTTATAGAATATTTGATCTCATGGAAAATTTAATGCTATCTTCTGATGTTGCCACTAGACTGGTTATAACTAGTGCATGAGTGGATGGAAGAATGAATTCATCATTCATGAATTGACTGATAACACCGAGGCAGGCAGGGAAATCCTTTCTGCAATAAACCACCATCTCCCTCTTTTCTCTATAGTCTGGCCTTACCCCAATCCATGTTGCTGCCTTCATGGGACATGTAAATATTGTATCACAGCTAATGCATCATGGAGCCTCACCAAATACCACCAATGTGGTAAGTAGTCTTCAGAAAGAAGTTTAAGGTCAATTAAAGAGGTATGGTTATAACTGGTAATAATTCTTTGTATCTATTTATGTTTATTATAATTACATTAACAACTCTTCGACCGCTTAAAAGACCAGATTTTGAGACTACCTTTAATTTCCCTGAGTTCAAAGAAGCAAGATCTGTTCAATAACAAACTGGTCACAATTTGTTAGTACTTACAGACTATGTCCATTACCCTTACAGGTATATACCACTGGGTACTACACTTCAAGTAATAAAAGTCTTATGGAGGGAGACACTTTCTGGGGTTTTTCTTGCTTTGTTTTTTATAGTAGAAGTAGTGAGTGTTGTATATGACATTGAGAAGGTTGTTTAAGTGTCGTTATATCGTTTCAAGTAAATACAAAGTAATTTCTCTCTAGAATGTTTGGCCATATTAGAGCTAACCCAAGGAATTTTGTTGATCAAAATGTTTAGATGCTTTTCCACATAAAGCATGACTCTACAGAGCCATGAGCCTCGGTGTTCAAACTTACCATCCCCATCTGGGTGTAACGCTTGGCATTGTTTTATGGGCTTTAAATTCTGACAGCATCATAATATTAACACACCAGATCCCAGGCCTATGGAAGCCAGCTGGTTCCATGCAGAACTCCCCCCCCCCCCCAATTGAAAATAAAACAAGATTTTGTCTTGTTGCCCTACCCACCTTTCTTGACACAGAAAAGGGGTCAGAAATCAAGAGGTCCTGCCCACTGGCCCTGAGGTGGGCCCCTGATAAGCTCTGCCTCCCAGATTAGCACACCACAAGGCAGAAACAGGCCCAGGGCTCTCTGCAGTTCGGTCCTCCTGGGTACAAATAAAGGACCAGTTCAGCGCCTTTTCTCTCCACACTACAAGTTTCATGCAAAGTATGTCTGACCTTCCACAGAAGTGGATTTTCTGTAGAACAAAGCTCAACTTAGCAAAGAAGTTAAAGATGGTCATTTTGATGTTGTGTCTGTGTGTTGTGTCACAGATTAAATCCAGGGCTTTACACATGCAAGGCAAATGCTCCACCACTGGCTGAGTTATCTTTCTTTCTATCCCTTAGATTTAGTTTGGAGGGTGGAGGGGACATACCCAGTTGTGCCCAAGGGCTACTGCTGGCTCTGTGCTCCAAGACTGCTCCTGGCAGTGCTTGGGGGACCATGTGGTGCTAGAGATGAAACCAGGGTCAGCTGCATGTAAGGGAAATGTCTTAACCCTTGTCCCCTATACTTTATTATATATATATATATATATATATATATATATATATTATTTATTTATTTATTTTTACTGGATCCTGCCTGGTAATTATCAGATCTTACTTCTGGCTCTGTGCACCAGAATTTCTTTTGGCATCACTTCTGGGGACCATGTGCAATGCCAGGGATCACACTTGGATTGACCATATGCAAGGCAGATACCTGACTATATTCTAAATCTCTGGCCCTGACTTGCTTTTTATATTGTAAAAAAAAGAAAAGTTATTGAGTAGTACATCTGAACAAGTCTTTGGTTAAAAGGGGGCAGTTGTAAAGCTCAGTGGCAAAGAAATGACCCCCTTAAGCCATCATTCAAAGACACAATGCTGATCTACTAAAATACAGCAAAGATCACAAGCAGAGGAGCCAGATAGCACCCTGGGGGTGCCTGCATTATTCTCGAAGCATTTGGTTTTGCAGGCTGGAGCAATAGCACAGTGGATAGGATGTTTGCCTTGCACGCGGCCTACGTGGGTTCGATTCCTCTGCCCCTCTCGGAGAGCCCAGCAAGCTACCGAGAGTATCCTGCTCGTACAGCAAAGCACAGCAAGCTCCCTGTGATATATTTGATATGCCAAAAACAGTAACAACAAGTTTCATAATTTGTTGTGAGATGTTACTGGTGCCCACTTGAGCAAGTCGATGAGCAATGGGAGGACAGTGCTACAGTGCTTGGTTTTGCATTCTGTATTTAAGAAAGGCACGCAAGCATCCAGACTGCTGATGCTTTGGGGAAATAAGGAGGTCTGACATGGTACAGTGTCCATCCCGCCCTGTGTACGAGTCACCTGCAGGAGTCACAGACTGGCTGGGGTGGTACTCTGATTCCTTCCCTACCTTCCCCTTCACCCATTTATCCTCCTCTGTGACCTCTTTGAAGTTCACCTTTCAACCTCCAGTAGCCCTGAGGAAAAGTCACCTTGGAGATAATTGAGCCATATCCCTGACACTGCTAGTAATGTAGCTCCCCTGGGGAACAAAAGTCTTTCCATCATGTGACAGGTTCCTGTATAATTCTTGGGTATTTAAATTTTTTCTCCTTACGACAGTTCAAAAGTGCCGTGACTTAAAAATAATAAGACAGCTCTGTGATGGCTTGTTCTTCAGCCCATGTTCTCCCTTGAACACATCTCACTTGATGATCTCTCTCTCTCTTTGTCTATCTCTTTGTACTCTGGAGAAGCCTGTGCTCTCTCTTGAACACATACTTCTCTCATTCTCTCTCCTCCTATCTGTCTAAATTAGTTTCAGTAAGGACCGTCTTGCTTCCTCGCCAGTAGCGAAAATCCTAATGTGATAAATTTCATGCAAATGAAGTGTGCCACTGTTCTTCTGATCTGCAGTGATTTTCTTTTTGATTCCGTTTTCCAGAGAGGAGAAACAGCACTACACATGGCAGCTCGGTCAGGACAAGCTGAAGTTGTGCGATATTTGGTGCAAGATGGAGCTCAGGTGGAAGCCAAAGCTAAGGTCTGTGCAACGAGGAAAATCCTTTCCTAAAGGGGATAGAGAGTGGGGTGAGGAGTTGATTGTTAGGCTTGAAAATCAAGCGTGTCTAACCTAAGACAACATGCAAAGGCTTAAGACCTTCACTCCTATACATGCGCTCTCCCCGGAAAACCTCAGTGACAAAATTCTTTACCCGCATAATATCATTTTTTAAAAATCCCATTCCTGCATATGTACCTAATTCAAGTATTTAACAGAATCAAATATTTTTTTTTTTTAAAAAAAGAGCATTGTGCCAGAAAGAAGTTTGTGTCCTTGGCACTTAGGTCATTTTAACAGATTCGGAGCTAGACGTAGATCTGGTGCAAAATTCTTCTCACTCTCTGAAGAAGAGCTTATACCTAAAACTACTGGAACAGGCCAAGCCTGCAAGCATAATTTAGATCTCTTTGATTAACATATATATGGCATATATATACATATATATACATATATATATGGCAGCTGTCACTGCCAAGAGAAAAATAGTGTCTTTTTTTAACTTTTTCTCTGCAATTTTTGTGGTTATGTTTTGTTTTGGGGTCACAGCCGGAGATGCTCAGGGGTAACTCCTAGCTCTGCACTCAGGAATTATTCCTAGCAGTGCCCGGGGGACCACATGGGATGCTAGGGATCAAACCTGGTTGGCCATGTGCAAAGCAAATGCCTCACCCACTCTACTATCATTACAGCCCTTTTCTCTGCAATTTGGAAAGCCATAAAGGTTGCAACTCAGACTCCCTTTGCTTCAGGGGTCTGTCTTTATGGAATGTCTGGGATGGATTTGTATGTTTCATGGATTTGTATGTTTCACTCTTCATGTGGGCTTGGGCAACAGGAGAAACCTTTTTATCTGTCACACTGTGCAGGTAATGAGGGAGTCAGTATGGGCATCAAAATGGGAATTCATGTCAAGAAATAGAAATGACCATTTGACTTTCACCAATACAACATATAAGTGGTTTATTTCCATTGTTTACATAATCTAGTTGGTTGTTTTGGGCAAAGTAAAGAGAAAGCAGATCTTTTTTTTTAAGCAGTTTCAGTAGCAGGCACGATAATATATTGTTTAGTTGTTTGAAATAGTTAAAATATAGTACAAATTGATAAAGTCACTAGCACATGCCTACCGGAAGAGAATAGTCTCTGTCACCATGGCTTAGTTCTGTGATTGTAGAACTCAAGCAGAGAGAGAGGATGGAGCACGGCCAGTGAGCCTGGTAGGTTCCAATAAACCTTAATGTCCAAGCACAGGCAGCCACTGGTACTGTGCTGGGCCTAATTCAGATGCTGTTGGTTAAGGTACTAAACTGGTTAGATAAAATGTTCAATCACGGTTGCACTCACCATTAATGAGTATTGCTATTTACATATGAAACATTGCTTGCTCCAAAATAGCTTTACACCAGGTCTGGAGCGATAACAGTAGGTAGGGCGTTTACCTTGAACGTAGCCGACCCAGGTTCGATTCCCAGCATCCTATATGGTCCCCTGAGCACCGCCAAGAATCATCCTGAGTGTAACCCCTGTGCATCGCCAGATATGACCCAAAAAGCAGAAAAAATAAGAAAAAAGGCTTTACCCACCAGCTGAAATTGAGGGTAGGATTTGTCCTTTCTCTAAGGAGACTCTTCGGCATATTGTGTCTAAAATCTTGGCTTTCTCAACCCAACCGTTTGGGTGTGACCTTGGTCCACTGCTATAGCTGTGTAACACTGGTACACCAATCTTTTTCTTTCCTTTTCCTTTTCTAGTTCTCTCATTAAAAAAAAAAGTAAGAATAATAATAGTTGGAACTCACAGGTTATGATCATGACTAAAGAATTCTCCGAGCCTGGGCTGTGTAGCTGCTCAATAAGTGTGTAGTGGAAGTGGCAGCAGTAGCAGAGTTTTCCGGGAGTTTTCTTTGTGTTCAGCATTCTTTTCCCAGCACTCCTTGTGGCACCTCCCCTAACTCTTTTCATGCTTCCCACTAATTTGAAGGTGATCTTGCTCTGACCCTGACCCTCTCCCTGCAGACCCTCACAAAGAAGTGCCATATGCTTCCTCTCTACATAAAGATTGACCTGAAATTTGTTTGGGAACGTATTTCTGGCCTGATGCCTGGAGTATGCCTCCTTTGGTGCCCAGGGGACTACGCAGTGCTGGGTCTGGAAGCCAGGGTTCCAACATACAAAGCTTACGCTCCTCACTTTGAGCTGTCTCCCATGCCCTTTTCCTGAAATGTTCATGTTCCAGTTGGGTATTTCTCGCTGGAAATCCATTCATAAGGGCAAATTTGAAAGGTCAGAACCCAAAGCTGCAGGGAGGTAAGAACCGAAGAAGGCCACAGGCCATAGTAAATGCCTCTTTCCCTGGGGTGAGTTCCACTCCAAGTCAACTCCAAGCAGACACTGGGCAGACTGCAGGGCAGAACTGGGTGAGCAGAGGGTAGGCCGGCTTTCAGCCACCATCAGCGCTCTTGTCTGAGAGCCTCTGTGCAGACACAACTGCACAACCCTGGACTTTCCCCCTTTTCCTCTGCTTTTACTTTATTTTATTTTATTTCCTCTGCTTTTATATCGATCCAGGTATTTGTGTTTTATCAGAATCCACTTCCCTGGGGCCACAGTGATAGTACAGCAGGTAGGGCTCCTGCCTGGCCTGCAGCCAACCTGGGCTCTATCTTAGGCACCCCATATGATCCCCTGTGCACAGACCCAGGAATAAGCCCTGAGCATGGCCAGGCATGACTCTCCCCCAAATGGAAAAAAATGTTTTTCCTTATCTCCCACCCAAAATAATATTTTTTTAGTATTCAGAGATTTTTATTGTAATCTTTTACTTACTAATGCAGACACTTAAGTAGTATCTACAATATAATATTTTCTGATATAAAGCCAATATTCCCTTTCTTATGATAAAACAATTTATATTTTATACTCATATTTTATCATTTAAATTTTCTTAATTCTCTTCACTCTTACTAAACTCCTTTTTAAATTAAATTAAATTTTTTTATTGAATCACCATGAGATGCACGGTTACAAAGTTGTTCATGATCGGGTTTCAGTCATGCAATGTTCCAACACCTGTCCCTTCACCAGTGTACATTTCCCACTACCAGTGTGTCCCCAACCAGTTTTCTCTCTCTCTCTGTCTCTCTCCCTCTGACTCTCTCCCTCTCTTCCTGTCTCCCTCGCTCCCCCTTTCCCCCACTCCCACTCCTTTCCCCCCAAGAAAGGAATCTTCAGAGGTTAAAAATTGATAAAGTACAAGTAAGGATAACTTATAGAGATGTATCTCATCATTAGCATAATAGTAAGTTACTCCAAGGGTATTTGAGTCACTTATGACCACCATGTGTTTTATTTTGTCCTCTAAATAAATAAAATTCATCAGTTTGCTGAGTGTAAATGTTCTTATATCTTCAGGATGCAGTGTTCTCATACCAGGCCCACCTACAGTCTCCCTTCAACACAGTCCAAGGTCCTATTCTTTTTATTTCCTCCCTACATGGTAACTGCAATTCTGCCAGCAGAATATGAGCTTTGCTTCAGTGGATATGGTTGTCTGTTTGTGAGCACCACATGAGAGTTAGGTAATCTGATATTTGTCTTTCGCCTTCTGTGCTTAGCAGCATCATTCTTGCATTTTGTACTGTCCTTTAGGATGATCAAACCCCTCTCCACATTTCTGCCCGACTGGGGAAGGCAGATATAGTACAGCAGTTGTTGCAGCAAGGAGCATCTCCAAATTCAGCCACGACATCTGGGTACACCCCATTGCACCTTTCAGCCCGGGAAGGCCACGAGGATGTGGCTGCTTTCCTGTTGGATCATGGCGCATCTTTATCTATAACAACAAAGGTATGAAAGTGTATTTTGAAATCCTGGTGTTCTCTGACAGTACCTCCTTCAACCAATTCCCAGTATGATAATAAGTACAAAAGCTTGGCCACAACATTGCAAGTGGGATCTTATGGTAGTCTTGAACATGGCAGCAAGGCCCTGGGTTGGGGAAGGCTAATTTGGAATGTGAGTGTGTGTGTATGGGGGTGGGTGGGGGAAGGATTAATTCCTCAGTATGGACAGTGAACAATGATATATAGAATTTGTTTGGGGGTTTGTTTTGTTTTGTTTTAATTGCATCCAGCTGTATGCAAATGGGTTACTCCAGGCTCTGTAATCAGAGGTCATTCTTGTGGTGTTCACGGGAACCACATGTGATACCAGGGATTGAACCTTGATTGGCAAGCCCCTTAGCCACTGTACTGTCTCTCCAGTCCTAGAGTATTTTTCTGAAACCAAGTATGCAAACCACTTTATCAGATCTTAGCTGATTAAAAAATTTATAATATTTCCATAACCAAAGAAATTTTTCAGAGTTATTTTTCTTGGATTATTTTTGTTTATTGCCTTTTTCATTATTTCATACAGTGTTTTGATTTTTTTGTTTTTAAACCTCAACTTCACTGCTTTAGAATTTAATCTACACTATGTTTTTATAGTATTTTTTTGGTAGGGCATTTGCCTTATGCGCAGCCAGCCCGGTGGAGTGGAGCCAGGTTCGATCCCTCCACCCATCTCAGAGAGCCCAGCAAGCTACCGAGAGTATCTCTCCCGCACGGCAAAGCCTGGCAAGCTACCCCTGATATATTCAATATGCCAAACACAGTAACAACAAGTCTCATGATGGAGACATTACTGGGCCCGCTCGAGCAAATCAATGAACGACGGGAGAACAGTGTTTGTTTTGATTGTTTTTTATTTTTATTAGACACCATGAGGTACAGTTGTAGACTTAAAATTTTTGTGCTTGAGTTTCAATTATACAATGATCTAATACTCATCCCTCCACCAGTGCCCATTTCCCACCACCACGGATCCCAGTATCCCTCCCACCCCCCATCTCCCCCATCCCACCCTGCCTCTGTGGCAGGCATACCCTTTTGTTCTCTCTCTCCTTTTGGCTGTTGTGGTTTGCAAAAGAGGCACTGAGTGGCAATCATGTTTGGTCTATGGTCTACTGTCAGCATGCTTCTCCCATCCTGGGAGGATCCTCCCAACACCCTTTATTTGGTGCTCCCTTCTCTATCTGAGCTCCCTTTTCCCCTAGCATGTGTAGCTGGCCTCCAAGCCAAGGAGCAAAATTCCTGGTACTAATCTCAACCATAGAATTTTATCTACACTATTGCCCTTTAAGTGAAGAACATAAAATGTAGAGCTCGTTTTTCATATGATGCTATGTAAGCATATCAAGAGTGACTATAAAAATGAATTGGTCCTAGTATTTCTTAGAAATTTTTGGAATTGGCCATGGAATTTCTGGGAATTTTGTTGAATCCTCATATTGGAGCACAAATAAGAACGATGAATTTGTGATCAATTCAAAGAACAATTACAAACACTTGGAAACTACCTGAATAAAAAGATGCCTGCTTCATACTTCACCCTCTGAGACTCCTTATGCTCTCTGGTACAGTTTAGATATAGAGATCAAGTTCCCAGGTCTCGTCAATTATGTAAAACACAGTCTTGGGTGATGCAAGTACTCTAGCTTTTCTATCATGACAGCTGCTCATTGGTTGTGGTCAGTTATTGTCTCATGAGGTCAAATGCACTGATGATCTCCCAGTCACTTACCTTGGACCATTCTTAGAAGTGCTTTCTTATTGTTTGATAACCCAGATCATCCAGAGTTTATACCAAGAGAGAGCAACTACTTAACTCTGAGTATCTAGTTCTCACACACTTAGGGCTAAACCATGTGTGGTTATCGGGTTCTCCTTAGAGAGCTAAAGTGAGAGATTCTCTAGCCCCTGCTTCTGAGGCTGGAACATCCATAGCCATATGTAATATGGAAAGGGGAAGAAACAATGCTAGGCTGGTACATCTGGCACCTTGCGATTTGGGGAGGTGCGTATTTGCCCTGGATTGTTCATAGCTCTCCAAATCCAACTACGCCAGGTGTCCTGTAACTTTTTCTTCCTTCCTATAATCAGTTCCCCAGATGCCCCTTAAATAACCCCCAAATCCAAACTGCAACATCAAATGCTTGGTTAGTCCCCCAAATAGTGGCATGTATGTATGGCTGGGTTATTAGAGGGAAATTGATCACTGCCTCATTAGATGTCCTGCTTGTTTTTGTAATCAAAGGAATTCAAGCTGTTATCTGTCAGTTTTGATCTTTTGGGGAGGGTGGGCCGCTGGGGCAACCAGCAGTGCTTAGGGTCAGTTCTTGGCTCTGTGATCAGGAGGGAGCTCTGACAGTGTTTGAGGGAACTTTTCCAGTGCCAAGGATTGAACCAGAGTCAAGTGTATGAAAGACAAGCACCTGTACTATCTGTCTGGCCCCAGGTTTGATCCTTATATGCAGACTTAACTTTAATCATTAAAATAATGCATCAACTACAGAAAATTGGTATTTTACCTAACTTTTATTTTTCATTATTTTTGTTTCTTTTTTTTTCCAGAAAGGATTTACACCCCTTCATGTGGCAGCAAAATATGGGAAGCTTGAGGTGGCAAATCTCCTGCTCCAGAAAAGTGCATCTCCAGATGCTTCTGGAAAGGTAAGCAGTCACCAGACATCAGGTATCAGGTGTATCAGGTCACCTCATGGTACAGAATAAGAACTAATAATTACCAACAGCCACCTAACTAATAACTAAACATACTTAAGTTTCACAGGATAGAGAGAAGTAGGCAAGTGAAGGTCCACGCTGATACCCAATAGCAATGAATTGAATTTATGTTAGAATTCATGGATAGCTAATCTAATGCTGTCTTCAAATTCTAAGGTTCTAATTTTCACATGGTCTTGACACTGGTTGTTGTTTCTGCACGTGTTTCAGAGCGGACTAACTCCACTGCATGTAGCTGCACATTATGATAATCAGAAAGTGGCGCTTCTGCTTTTGGACCAAGGAGCCTCACCTCATGCAGCCGCAAAGGTACCTGTACTTCAGTTGCGCTGATAGGCAATACCTATTGTTTTCTCTCTCTCTCTGTGTATGTGTGTGTGTGTGTGTGTGTGTGTGTGTGTGTGTGTGTGTCCTTTGACTTCATCTGTGGCACTATTCTAATTTAGGGACATCTTATGATGAAGAAAGTAAATGCTTCCTAGGAAATCTGTGCCTTTAGTTACTTAGTCATCTAATGTGGTTGGTGCTCAATAAATATTTATTTGAAAATTCAGGATGTCTTGGAGCATGAGGAGAAAAAAATTGAAGTTCTCTGGGGCTAAAGATACAGTACAGAGGGCAGGGTGCTTGCCTTGCATGAGGCTGACTGAGTTAATCCCCAACACCCTATAAGGTTCTGCAAGCCTGCCAGGAGTGATCCCGAAAGCCAAGCTAAGAGTAAGTCCTGAGCACCAACCGAGGGTGCTTCCAATCAATATAAAAGAACTTGAAGTGCACATTAGCCAGATAATAAACATAAGCACAGCCTAAGGAAGTCAGAAAATGCCAATTTGTTAAGCATCTAAAATGTGGTAGATTTTCCTGACTGCAAAACATTGTCTTCAAGCTCATTTTTATATCTAATAAACTGGGTTTTCTAGTTTAAAAGTTTAAGCTTATCTAATAAAATTTTATCTTATACAATTTTATCTAATAAACTTTTATGTTATTACCAAGGAGAATGGTGAAAGGAGGATTGGTCCACATCAGGCCCTGGCCCTGTCCTCAGGCGTGACCCCTGGCATGCTCAAGGGACATGAGGGCAGAAACTCCAGCTGGGATCAGCTTCATGTAAAGCAAGACTTTCTCTCACAGCAGAGAATCTTCTTGTTAGGCAGTTTCTCAGAAAAGTTACATACATGTACGTGTGTGTGTGTGTGCGCGCGCGCGTGCACACGCGTGCATTATAGTACTCAGGTGTTATTTAAATATAGGTGAATAGAGGCTGGAGCGATAGCACAGCAGGTAGGGCATTTGCCTTGCATGCAGCCAACCTGGGTTTAATTCCCAGCATCCCATATGATCCTCCAAGCCCCACTAGGAGTAATTCCTGAGTGCAGAGCCAGGAATGACCCCTGAGCATCACCCCCCCTAAAAAAAAGCAAATAAATAAATATAGGTGAATAGAGTGTCTTTATTATTGAGTGGGTGACCAAGTGGCTAGAGGTCATTGTCATTATACAAATTACTGAATTATTAGAAGAAATACCTTTCATGTGATAAGTGCTATTACATCAAGACCTGCCGTGAGTAACAGGACTGGGAGTGTCAGAAGAGGCTGGCTGATGGGTGGCATGGCAACCTCTGCCTTCTGTATGGTTTCTGACCCACCGTGCCCCCTGGAATGAGCAATCTGCGGTTAAGACCCGAATCATAGTCCCCAGTACTCATTCACAGATGCTTTTCTCTTTCTGCTTATCTCAAAAGAAATTCTAAGGTGTCATTGGCATGTTTTATATGATCAGCATCAGAACCTTGTTCAAAATAGAATCTTGTAAGTCTATAACTATACCTCATGGTGTTTCACTCATTTCATTTTCATTTCATCATCCTGTTATTCGTCGATTGCCTCGAGCAGGCCCCAGTAACGTCTCTTTCATCCTAGCCCTGAGATTATATTCAAGGCTATTTAGGAGAATGAGACCCATCATTGTTACTGGTATTTGGCATATTTGGTACGCCACGGGGAGTTTGCCAGACTCTGCCCTGTGGGCAGGCTACATTCGATAGCCTGCAGGTTTGTCCAAAGTAGGAATAAGACAATAAGATGTCATAAAAAAAAGTTCTGTTAAGATGTCGCGCGGCCGCGAATGTGGCCGCACGGTTCCGGGATCTGGATTTTATAGTCTCTGAGTCTTGGCCGCTGATGGGATTACACGGCGCCAGGGGGCCAGGTGGTGGGTGTGACCCTCGCCTACTGGAATTTGGAGGATCTGGGTGGAAGATGCTCGACTCCAATTCGAGTAGGCTTGGAGGTCTCGGCCCCGGAACCCGCGTGGCTTTGTCCCTCTGCCAGTACCTTCATGTGTGCGGAGAGTGGTCTCAGCATGGTGGTGGCTGGTCCTGGAGGTCTTCGGCTGCCGGAGTCCTGGTCGGGGCGGGGAGGAAAGCTCAACCTGCTCCCCTCCAAGGGGCTCCGGGAAGGAACACCCAGGTGTTCCACTAATTAAAAAAAAAACAGAATCTTGCATTGCTTTTAAATGACTGTGAGCAAGACGGGGTGTCCCTCCCCCAGACAAGGAACCCCGCTTTCTCGGGTTAGAGGACTATGAAGGCTCCTGAAGCACAGCTAATTAGCAGCATATCAAAGAAATTTTGTTCACCCCTGCCCAGAATATCCAGGGTCATACAAGGTAAGGATCCTAGAATGTTCTGAAAGCTTTAGATCGTTTGACTGAGAGTTCACTAGTCATTGTGAGCTACCAGAAATGCAAAGACAGAACATAATAAATTTGTGTTTTTAATTTTACTGAACGAAACAATAAATATTACCAAAAGTATCTAATATGGTCACTGAATATTGATTGGAGTCCACTGGGTAGGAAAGGGGTGTGAGGGTGTTGGGAGTTAAAACATCTGATGAAGGCATGATCTTTGAATTTTCAACCAATAGATGCTGACCATCAGGGCATGCTGGGGAAAAGGATTTTTTGGCAGAGCAATGTAAGACAGAAACATGAGTTGTGTGTTGTTTAAGGGACATGCTGAAGCCCAGCACAGAATGACAGTTTTCATAAGAGGAGTAGTCAGAGGGGGCAAATAAGAGTTCGTTATACCATCTTGACTGTTGTGAAAATTAAATTTTAACTTACAAGCAACATATGGTCATGAAAGGGATTTTAAAGGTAGAATAAAAATGACTCTTAATATTCTTCAGTGGGACATTATTTATTTATTTCACTTTCCTTTCATCACCAATTTAAACAAAGTGAGTATTTATTGAGCACCTACTACTTAACTCCCTCTAAGAGGGAATTCTGTTGTCCTCTTGTAAAACCAGCAGGCACTTCTAACATAACTTTTTTTAAGCCATCAAAGAAAACCTCTACAAAGGGAAACAGGCCCTTTGGCCATGCACTGTTTGAATTTTTATCTTGTAACAAGGTCTGTGACCAAGGGATCTGTGTTGACAGAATGGTTATACACCACTGCACATCGCTGCCAAAAAGAATCAGATGGACATAGCGACAACTCTGCTGGAATATGGTGCTGATGCAAATGCAGTTACCCGGCAAGGCATTGCTTCTGTCCATCTTGCAGCACAGGAGGGGCACGTGGACATGGTCTCACTGCTCCTCAGCAGAAATGCCAACGTGAACCTGAGCAATAAGGTAAGCTTGTTCTCTTTCTAAAATATGCACAACTCAGTGAGATCTCACTTCTCGGCAAGAGGGCATAAGATAAATCCCTGTAAAATGAGTCCAGTGCAGTATTGCAAGATGTTTATCAGTGTTCTTTATTATGGCAAAGATTTGGGAACAGTTCATCTGCACAAAGTGGACGTGACTGGCCAATAATTGAAAAGTCATACAATTGAGCAGAATCTAAGTCATGAAACAGAAGCCAGAGCTCAGGATTTTGCTCTGTTGGTAAAGCACCTATTGTAGGCTTGAGCCTAATATCTGATTCTTGTCTCCAGCCCACTTTGCCAAGAGCTATTTCCAGTGCTTCGGGGATCCTAGCTTGGTGCCAAAATAAGTGTGACTACCCACGCCACCACAAAGTGTGCACCCCCAGTAGTCCAGCCCTATAACCTGGTGTGTGTGCAGCCCTTCACTCACTGTAGTCAGGCAGGGGTACCAACACTTTAGCCAGCTCAGCCCCTGGCCCAACAATTACAGGTGAAGGCACCATGTTCATATTAAAATGTAAGGTTTGGGGGCCGAACTGTTAGTACAGCAGGTAGGGCATTTGCCTTGCACATAGCTGACCCAGGTTCAGTCCCCGGCATACCGTATGGTCCCCTGAGCACTGCCAGGAGTAATTCCTGAGTGCAGAGTCAGGAGTAACTATCCCTGAGAATGGTTGGGTGTGATCCAGAAAGACAAAAAAAAAAATTAATTAATAAAATAAAATGTAAGGTTATATAAAAACCCAACAATGTTGGTGTAACCCCAACAACGGCCAGGATCCAGAGATTATCACACCAAGATCCCGGGAGAGAACAAGGCAGAGTCTCCTATCCTGTGCCTGACTGTCCTCACCAGGGCCCAACAGCTGAAAACCTCTGGGCTCCAGCTAAGGTCATGCTGAGACCACTCTCCACACTTGGATGAGCCTCATGCATAAAAGAACTGGCAGAGGAACCCAGGTGTTTGGGACCTGGGGCTGAGATCTCCAAGCCTGCACGGTTTGGGACTGGACCTGCCAGTAGCTAGACAGTTACACCCACCAACTGCCGTGTAACCCCAACAATGGCCAGGATCCAGAGATTATCACACCAAGCTCCTGGGAGCGGGGCCGCACGACTTTTTATTTACATTTGTTTAATTTTTCAGGGTACCTTAAATATTCCACCCACACGGCAGAGCCTGGCAAGCTATCCGTGTCTATTTGATATTTGATATGCCAAATCCAGTAAAAAAAAAATGGATCTCATTCCCCTGACCCTGAATACGGCAGAGTCGAGAAGGATGTGGAAGGAGAGGCTGATAAAATCCCAAGGCAGAAATAGGCTGCCAAAACGAAGAAAGACAAAAATGATTGTCTGTACTTTTAAATCACGTACACTGGCATCTGATGCATCCATCGAGAACCTGATGGTACAAGCACAAAAGATCAAGTACGACATCATTGGTCTGACTGAAACGAGAAGACATCAATCACATCACACCGTTTTCGACACTGGAGAAGAACTGTTCCTTGAAACATGTGACAAAAGAGGTGTCGGTGGTGTCAGTATCCTTGTCAACACAAACTTAGCCATGAGCATTGATTCATTTGAATGCCTAACAACCCGAATCGGACGATTACACTTGAATAGATGTGGCTCACTGCCGGCAGTTTCTATCTTTGTTGTCTATGCACCAACATCCAATTATGGTGAAAGAGAAATTGAGAAGTTCTACATGGAGCTGGAGAAGTTCTATAAAGAAGATCACACCTTCTACAAGATCATAGTCGGTGATTTTAATGCCAAGATAGGACCAAGAAGATCAGCCTAAGAACTCCACATTGGGACCCGTGGCTTAAAATGGAATGAACAGGGTGACAGACTGTCTGAGTTCATGATGTCAACCAAGACCTTCCATGGTAACTCACAATTCCAAAAGGCTGAATCTAAACATTGGACATGGGAATTTCCCAGTGGACGGTTCCTCAATGAAATAGACCACATCATATTCAATTGGTGGTTTTGGCTAACCGATGTTGCTGTTGTCCCAAAATTCCAAACGGGATCGTACCACCGTCTCCTTCGTGCAAAATTCTATGTCACAGAATGAGAAAAAAAGAATGCAAAGTTTTAAGACGAGAACTCCCAGAATGACCACCAGCTGGGAGCTCTTTGACTCTGTTGCAGCAACATGGGAAGATGCCGTCATTGACAACATTGATGAGGAATACGATTGAATGATTCAGCACCTCAGTGATTGTGCGAGGAATGCCAAGAGAGAGATAACCACAATAGACCACCTTTCTTCGAACACTCTTGAACTTATTCGCCAACGTGGCTTGGCATATGCTTCAGGCAACCGCAAGCTAACGTCCGAGCTGGCAAAACAATGCAGAGAAGCCATCAAGGATGACCTCAAAGACAGGAGAGCAGCGGTGCTGGTAGATACGGCAGAAGACGGGAAAAGCATTCGTAATGCCCGCCTGTCCTTCACAAACTACAAGACCAAGATGACTGCCCTCCGACATCCTGATGGATCTATCACATCTTCCAGAAGGGCAATGGAGAAGATTATTCATGACTTCTACTCAGATCTCTTTAACAGCCACGTCCACTTGTCCACATACCACGTTCCGCATGATGGATATGTCATTCCCAAAGTTCTCCCTTCTGAAATCCAACATGCCATCTCATCGGAAAAGAAACAGAGCACCTGTCCCAGACAAGATCAGACCTGAATACCTGAAGAACTTAACATCAGTACTCATCAATACACTGTCTCGGCTCTTCACATGCTATCTGTCTGAATGCAAGATTCCATCCCAATGGAAAACCAGCAGGACTGTACTACTATACAAGAAGGGAGACATCCACGACATTGGCAACTATCGCCCAATCTGCCTATTGTCTGTCATCTACAAACTGTTCACTCGAGTCATCCTGAATAGGATTAGCAGAACACTAGATGAAGGACAACCATGTGAACAAGCCGGATTCCGAAAAGGATTCAGTACCATCGACCATATCCACACGATTACTAAGCTCATTGAGGTTTCTCAGGAGTTCAAGATGCCGCTCTGTCTAACGTTTATTGATTTAAAGAAGTCCTTTGATTCTGTTGAGACGGAAGTGGTCATAGAAGCCCTAGCCAATCAGGGCGTACAAACTCAATACATCAGGATCCTCCGTGAGTTCTATTACGGATTCACTACCAGGATCTCACCATTCTACAAAGAAGTAATCATCCATGTCAAGAGAGGGGTTAGGTAGGGTGATACCATTTCACCAAAACTCTTCAGTGCCACCCTCGAGAGCATCATGCGACGACTGGAATGGGAAAGAATGGAAGTGAAGATAGATGGTCGACAACTAAACCACCTCCGCTTTGCTGATTACATCGTTCTGATAACACCAAACATCAGCCAAGTGGCATAAATGCTGACCATCTTCGACCGTGAGTGTGGAAAGGTCGGACTACAGCTGAATCTTACGAAGACAATGTTTATGAGAAACAGCCTCGTTCCTGACGCTCCATTCGCTCTCAATGGAACCACCATCTCCAAATGCAACAATTATATATGCCTAGGTCGAGAAATCAACATGATGAATGACCTGGCACCTGAGTTGCGCAGGAGGAAGAGAGCGGCTTGGAATGCCTTCAAGAGCATTGAAGAAACAACTAAGAGGACAAAGAACCTCCAGCTACGAGCACATCTCCTGGATTCCACTGTTCTTCCTGCATTAACATATGCCTCAGAGACCTGGGCCCTATGAAAACAGGGTGAGAACGCTATTCAGGTATCTCAAAGAGGAATCGAAAGAGCTAGCTTGGAATATCATGATTCACTCAAAATGAGAGATAGAATCTGGAGTTCTGATCTCCATCAATGCTCAAGAATCAGGGACGCTGTCTCATTTGCCAAGGCATCAAATATCAGATGGGCTGGACATGTAATGAGGTTTACAGACAACCACTGGACTAGAGCCATTACTGACTGGATTCCACGGGATGTCAAAAGATCGCGTGGACGCCCACCTACAAGATTGTCAGACTTCTTCGTAAAGACCCTGAATGATCAGTTTGAGGCTCTGCATGTTCCTAGAATGAACAGATGCCATTGGGCTATGCTAGCACACAACAGGGATGAATGGAGACGTTACTGGCACCCGCTCGAGTAAATCAATGAATAACGGGGGATCAAGTGATCAAGTGATATAAAAACAAACTTTTAGATAATAAAAACAAAATAGTGGTTATTTGGGGAAGGAGAAATTGTGGGTGAAAGAGGATGGGTAGGGGCTGGAGCAATAGCACAGCAGGTAGGGTACAGCGGGTTGTACGCGGCCAATCTGGGTTCGATTCCCAGCATCCCATATGGTCCCCTGAGCACCACCAGGAGAAATTCCTGAGTGAAGAGCCAGGAGTAAACCCTGTGCATTGCCAGGTGTGACCCAAAAAGGAAAATAAAAAGGATGGTGTGTAAATCAGGTAAAAGAGGTCAAGTAGGGGGTCAGAGAGAGAGTACAGGGGTTAAGGTGACTGCCTTGAATACCCCCACTCACTTCAAACCCAGCACTGTGTAAGAATGCCTGAGTACAAAACCAGGAGGGCGGCCCCATCTCCCTTTCCCCTCACCCAAAAAGGGACTCACTTCTGTGGTGATGGATGTAAGCTAGAATTCTAGTGGCCAATCTGAAGTTGTGTTTATACATACTGATTTAAAAGATTTAATATCTGAAAAAAATACATATGCAATAGGGGCTGGAGAGATAATACAGGAGTTAAGTCACTTGTCTTGTATCCTGCTGACCCTGATTCAAATCCCCAGTACCGTTTATGATCCCCAAGCATCACCAGAGGTCACTCCTGAGCCTTGGACCAGGAATCTCCCTAAGCACTACTGAAACAAATTAAGAGTTTAGTTATGAATTTTTATGGGGGGGTGATTTTTTTGTTGTTGTTTAGGAATTAGAATTAAAACAGAAAATTTTGTCATA